GCTGGGTTCCCAGCATCTCCCAACCCTGGGGGCAGGAAGGAATCTTCCCACCAGATCTGAGGTCTGGAAAATTCTTCCCTTCTTCACAGGCAGAGAGCCCTGGGTTCCAGTCCTGGCTGGCCAAGAACAGGCTCCCCGTCTTGGGAGGCGAGGGCCAGAGCACTGGATCCCTCTGTTTCCTGCCATAAGAGCAGGCTCTGGGGAGGGGGGTGCAGAGGGGCTTCTGTTGAGTTTCAGAGGCTGTGTTGGGGGGCCTCAGGGAGAGAAGAGAGGAGCCCTGCCACCCCTGGCCTCAGATAAAGCGGGCCTTAGAGAGGGTCCTATGGTCAGGGCCCAGCTTGGTGCCACAACAGGGGATGTCCCCAGAAGCCAACAAAGCCACCATCGGGTACCCAGTGACAGAGGACTCCAACCTCATGCCACCCCCACCAATCACAGGCACGATCCCATGGGGCCTGGACTTCCCCTCACAACTCCCTGCTCAGCCCAGTGCTCCCCCAACACCCCCATGTGCTGGCCAAGGGGAGGGCCCTGATCACAGCCTCAGCAGGTCGGCTTGCCCATGCCTCCCCTCCCTGTCAGCAGAGCCAGAACTTCAAGAAAACAGGTGAGAAGAATGTTCTCACTTAACTGCATTTGCTGTTAGCAACAGCCCCCAAAGGAGCTGGGAGAAGGTCTTTGAATCAAATTACTGAGTACTGTAGTTCCGGTTCTCTATTATCTCCCTGCGGAATATGTGAGCAAGAATGAACTCAGAGGGCAGCCCACCCACCTGAGGCACCACTCAGTTCAATGACATTGATCTTGGGGGGAGGGGGGTGGGCAGGAAGAGCTGATGACAACTGTGATGCCTTATCATCTATTCGCTCTTTTTGGGTCAGCCCATGGGCTTGCCTCTGCCTATCTGATCTCATTTAACTGTCATGAGTGTAAGCACCATTCTGTTTCTGTTGTTAGCTGTCATGGAGCCGGCCCCCGACTAGGGCGACTCCATGTACAACGGAATGAAACGCTACCCTCTCCTGTGCCATTCCACGATCAGTTGCAGATCAGACCATTGTGATTCATAGCGTTTTCATTGACAGATTTTCAGAAGCAGCTCGCCAGGCCTTTCTTCCTAGTCCGTCTTAGTCTGGAAGCTCTGCTGAAACCTGTTCCGCATCGTAGCAACATGCAAGCCTCCACTGACAGATGAGTGATGGCTGCACATGAGGTGCATTGGCGGGAAATCAAACCCAGATCTTCCACATGGAAGGCGAGAATTCTACCACTCCACCACCACTGCCTCATCACCATATTACAGAAGACGGAACTGAGCTACAGACAGGTTAAATGACTTATCCAAGGACTTATCTATGGCAAAGCTGGGGGGGTCTGAACTTGTTTCTTTGCATCCATGCTCTGTGCCTTCCCCGAGATCAGGCTTCCAATGTGTCTCCCGACTTGGGCTGAAATGCTCAGGGCGGGCCTAGTGCCAAGGCTGGTAGAGAGCAGGAACATTTATTGTGCCAGAATGTAGTAAACTCTTAGAACATCAAAATGCTATGTTTAAAAGGCTCATGGGAAAATAATTCTGGAATCTCCAGTATTTTGTGTTTTCTGGGCCAGGCACGGTTCACCTCCATGAGGACAGAGAAGCAGAAGCTGCATGGCCACTCAACTTCTCTAGAGAGAAGCAACTTTGGCAGCCTCCCTCCGAGAGCACTGACGATCGGGAGCCAATGAATGCCTCTGTTATTTGGAAAATTAAAATGGTCTGGTGGAAGGCAAGGTGGTGTTGATTTGTGTCCACACACGCCCCATCTGCAGGCCCAAAGATGGGGCCCCCCAGCTGCTAACAAATGCAGGAAGTTCCCAGGGTGGAGATGTCACCTTCCCAGGAGACTGCAGACTCCCCTGGGGAGCTGGTGCTGAACCAGAGCTCCAGGGTCTACCTGAGACGTAGGACAGCGTTATGTACTGAGAACCAATAACAGCCCTGGTTCTGCCCCCCAGCACCACATCCCTGGGACACAGTCCATTCAGGTCTCAGAGATGTCCCAGGCCTGTCTTCCCAAGACCTGGGGGCTCATTCATTCATTCATTTCATGTTTCTTTAATGCACTTCAACATATGCCACGTGCTGTACCAGACCCTGGGGATAGTCTGAGGATGGAGAAGGCTTGGTCTCTGCTCTCAGGGATCTTACAGTTGAGTGTAACGAAGGCTCTGATAGGGGGAGCAGAGAGGGCTGCAAGACCTGGGACTCAGGACCCCTTAGCCAGTTCTGTGTGATCGGGGTTGGGGGAGGGTCCTGGGAGCACACATGCAAGCTGAGGCCTGGGGATGAGTTCAGCAGGAGGAAGGGAGCTTTGGGCAGAGGGAACAGCTTGGATGGAGACCCGGAGGCCAGAGGAAGCCTGGCAGGTTTAAGAACCCAAATAAAACTTTGCAGGGCTGAAGCCTCGCCTGTGAGGGGAGCTGGAGGTGAGGAGTGTGGGACAGAGAAGTGGTGGCCTGGCCATGCTCTGGCTTTCCTCACTCATTACCACCTGGCTTGGTTCATCTCATCACCCCCAGTAGTGTGAGATCCTCAGGGCAGGTTTCCATGGTTGTCAGTCTGGTACACCTGCAGAGCTAGGAGCTCAATATACATGTGTTGGATGAGTGCATGGATGGACGGTGAATGGATGGTGATGGATGGTGGATGGATGGTAGGTGGGTGGATGGATGGATGGTAGAAGGATGGATGTCAAGGTGTTGGGCTTTATCTGGAGAGCATTCACTGAATCCCACATATCATTTTGGTCCTACAAAAACAGCATTTCATATCACTCAACCTTATACAAGCAAGGCATGGGAGAAAAATAGGGTGCTTATTAATTCAGAAGAGATCTGGGCTCTCTCCAAACCTTGCCTGAGTCACTGCCTGGTCCTGTTTCCCCATCTGTCCCTGGTGAGGATCTGGATCACCCATGGCATCTAGGACTGGGTGACAAGGGGAGTGGAGGGGCCACCAGACCCAGGGACTTCAAGAGAGCCCCTCTGCCAGTGGACTTGAGTTTCAGGGAGCAACAAAAGGAACACTCACTCACTCCCCCCACTGTCCACAGCTTCAGCCCCATCCACCGGGGACAGGCTGAGGCCCCCAATTCTCTCCCTGAAATGACTTTTTAACCCTGACTTTGGCCCTAGACTGTCTTAAGGAACCCCCATTTCCACTCATACCCACCTTGATAAGGTCAGATACTCAAAAGTTGGGGAGCTGTGGAAAGAGCCACACTCCAGGTGCTGGATCCACATTCCATACCCAGGTGGTCAGAAATGTCTCTCCCAGGTGTTACAGATTGAATTGTGTCCCCTCAGAATATGTGCTGTAATTCCTAACCCCTATAGTTGTGGATGTAATCCCATCTGGAAATATGACCTGCTGCCAATCTACCCCACAGATGTGTCATTTGGACCATATACACATTTGAACATGAAAACCTTTAGAGGTCATGTATACTCCCCGGGTGGCACCAGGCAACACCACTCCCAGTCACCTTACCTACCTGGCAACCGAAGGCGTTTGAGATCGGAATCCCAGATAAAAAGAGGGAAGATTTTAGGAAAGACCAATCACTAGAAAAGGACATCATGGTTAGTAGAGGGTCAGTGAAAATGAGGGAAACCCTCAGTGACACGGACTGACACAATAGCCACAGTGGACTCAAATATACCAATGATCATGAACGTGGCGTAGGACCAGGCAACGTTTTGTTCTGTTATATATGGGCGGATTAACCAGGAAGCAAAGTGCGGACAGGCTTACTTGTGCTTACTAATCTGTAGTGCACAATGTCACCCGTTTTTGTGCACTACAGATTAGACAGCACAAGTAAACCCGTGCATACCTTGCTTATTGGGTAATCCGTTTGTTGTTATACATAAATTCGCCTGAGTTGGAGCTGACTCTCTAGCAACTAACAACATCGTTCCTACCACCTGTCTGTCAGTTTGTTGTATTGTGGTGGCTCATGTGTTGCTATGATACTGGAAGCTATGCCACTGATATTTCAAATACCAACAGGGTCACCCATAGTAGACAGGTTTCAGCGAAGCTTCCAGACTAAGACAGGCTAGGAAGAAAGCCTTGGCAGTCTATTTCCAAAAATTTGTCAATGAAGCCCTATGAATCACAACATAATATTGCCCAATATAGTGCTAGGAGATGAGCTCCCTAGCTTGGAAGGTCCTCAAAATACACAGTGGCTGCAACAATGGACTTGAGCACACCAACAGTCATAAAGATGTTATAGGACCCAGCAATGTTTTGTTCGGTTGAACATGGGGTCACCATGCTAATGAGACCCTATCAGTGTTGGGTGTTTCTTAAGCCAATCACCTTTGAGATCTAAACCCAACTGATTAGGGACATAGAAGGAAGCAGAGATGGGGAAAGACAGATGCCAGGCCACACGGAGACCACCAAGGAACCTAGGAACAGAAACTGAAGAGACGGGGACCTTCCCCCGAAGCTGACAGAGAAAGCCTTCCCTTAGAGCCGGCAACCTGAATTCGGACTTCTAGCCTCCTAGATTGTGAGAAAACAAATTTCTGTTTGTCAAAACCACCCGCTTGTGGTATTTATGTTATAAGCAGCACTAGATAACTCAGACACCAGGTAAGGGGAGGGTGGGCTGAAAGAACAGGTGCCTTCTGGCATGCAGACAACAACAGGGCCAACTCCGCACACCCAGGAAGGTGGAGCTGCAGAGATCTTTGAGCTTTATTTACAAACATATCACAGAATCCCCTCACACACCCACATACCCTACTCCAGAGCAACCCCTGCCCTCAACTCTCCTATTCCCAGGAAGCAGACAGAACTGGGTCCACCCATCCTGCCTGACCAAGAAGGGTGGGGCCCAAGTCTACTTGCAGCCCAGACTGGGCAGAGGCTTCTCCCTCATGGGCTCCCCATGCCCAGAGGGGAGACTGGGGAGATGCCACAGATGCCTCCTCCAAGTGGTCAGTCCTCAGAGCTTCTGCCGTGGGGTGTGGGGCCGGGTGACCTGGGGTTCTAACCAGATCGGGGTGGGTGGCGGAGCCTGCGTTGGCAGTGCCTGGATGGTGAATGGGGATGGAAGCGTCAGAGGTTGCCTCAATTCCAGCCTCATCCTCTTGTCCCTCCTGGATCTGAGCCAGGGTCACCTTCCTAGGGTAGGGTGAGGTGGGTGTGGCAGCCAACAGGAATCAGTGGAGCCTCAAGGGATGTCTTGGGTTGGGGCCAGGAGGGGAGGGGCTCTACAGAGAAACACTTCCAGGCCCTGGACTCCCCACCCCCACCCTGCCCCCAAGGGGACTCTGCAGCTCCCAGCTCTGCTCCAAGGTACCTGTCCCTCCCCAGGGCACCCAGAGCTAGGAACATGGCCCAGACTATACCAGGCGAGTAGGGCTGGTGGCAGACAGCTTCCGATGTTGGGCCTCCGAGGAGACACAGGACCAGAGGTCCAGGTTCCTGGGCGCTGAGCTTTTCTCTGGCTTGGGAGGGACGATGTCCCAGCCCAGCAGGCAGTGCTATGGAGAACAAGGGGTTAAACACACCTAGGGCAGGGCAGAGGCTGACAGGGTCCACCTCCCAGGGAGGGGCTGGGTGCACAACCGAGGTAGGATGGGGCTATCTCCCCCATCAGGTTGGACGGACCCCCTCAACAGAAATGGCCTCCCCCCTCCGACCCACAGCTCTCCCAAGGAAGGGCTGTCTCTCTCCTCAGACTGAGGCTTCCCCAGGGCAGGGGACCGTGTCCACCCACTGGGTTACTCCAGCCCCGCTTTCCTAACCCTGCCAGCGCCCCAGACCCAAGCCAGGAGGAGGGAGGATGCTGACAGGAACTGGGCACTTCCTTCTTGCCAGGCTCTGGCCCACGCACCTGACGCATGTTAATTTCCTGAACTGCCCACCTCACCCCACAACCCCAATGGTGCTGTTACACCCATTGTACAGAAGAGCAAACTGATTTTCCTCTGTATCCGTCTTCTCCTCCCAACCCAGGTCCCCCGCCCAATCAGGGGTGGATGGGGGCTCTGACCACCCTCCCACCCGGGGGCACAGAAAAGGGCATGTACAGGGAGGTGCTACGGAAGCATAAAGACCCAGATTCAAACCCCAGCTCTTGCACCTGCCACTGGCTGACCTTGGACAAGTCCTTGCCCTTCTCTGCCTCAGTTTCCCCATGTGGAAAGTGGGGGTAACAGCACTACTTGCTCTCCTGGTTGCTGAGGGGCTCAGTGAGAAAATCCTAGGACGGTGCATGCGGCACACAGAAGAGCTCGGTAAGTGGACCCACTCTCATTTTGCCAGCGTGGGGCAGACACATCCTGGAGGCCACGGGGCATGGGGTGCCCCACCTCCCAGCCTGGCCCTCCAAAGACTTGGGTTCCCGCCCTCCCCAAGCCCAGCCTCACTGTGTGGTCTGGAGACAGACCCTGACCTTCTCTGGGCCTCAGAATCCAGCTGGTGACCTGGGCCAGATGGGGACAGCACCCCCTCCATGCTCACCCGGGGCAGGGCCAGTGTGTCGGAGGCGTCGAAGCTCTTGCGTCGGTGGATGCGGTAGCGGTGCGGGGGCTCCAGGACTGACAGTGGGATGCTCACTCTGGGCAGAGGGTGCGGTGAGCATCAACGCAGGCGCCTCTGGCCGCTGTGGGCAACAGGCCCAAGCCGCATTCTTCCCTCCCCCAAACTGGTAGGACGCAGTGGGAGGGGGTGCAGACCCTCCCCCCTACACAGGTGCTGCTCTGCCTGTGGCTGGCCCCCAGGTGTCCTGCTGGCCCTGGTCACTCACCTGACCTGCGCTGGCTCTGCCAGGGTCTCAGGGCCCCTCTGGCCCCGTTGTGTCCTGCACAGGCGGCAGGGGGTGCCGGGATCCGCAGGCACCAGAAACAGGCGCCGGTTGACGCGATAACAGTACACACCTGGGAGGCCCATGAGATGCCGCACCCTGAACCGAGGGCCCTCGGGTCCCTGGGCCCCCGTCTCCTCTAACCAACCCCTCTGGGCTCATGGCCCACCCCCAGGCACATACACATGTGTGCATACAGGGAACACATACACACATGTTGACATGTGAAAATACTGAGCATGTGACAAGCACGCATACACACGCACACCAAGCACATACTGGCATCTTCACATGTACAAATGTCACATGTACAAGCACGAAGCATGTTCTTACAGTCATCTTCATGGACATACATGCACATGCATATATTTAAAATCACATACATGTACAGTATATACGCATGTGCACTCACATAAACACAAGACTATATCCCTCACACACAGGAATGCACACACTCACATTCATGGTCCTCGTCCATGTTGCTGCTCTCATGAAGGCTGAGGAACTGGAGTCTGTGAAGGTGAGAGGGGTGAGCAGGCCAGGCCAGGGAGTCCCCGAGCCGCCCTGGCCCACCCTTCACCCAACCTGCTCACTCAGGGTTGCTGGAGATGCACTCCTCCTTGTTGGCTTCCCGGAAGTTCTGCAGCTTCGAGAAGAAGGCCTCAGACTTGCCAGTGACGGGAGAGGTGCTTTCCAGAGACCCTGGTAGGGCAGAGCACGGGGAACCTGAGGGGCAGGTGGGAGTCTGTGGTATGGCCACTGGCCAAGGCTTAGGGACGCTCAGCCCTAGCATCCTATCCTTCTGTGTGGGGCCCCCACCATGCCTCACGCTGACCTTAAAAGAGGCCCTCTACTCACTGGGACTGTTGTCTTTGAGTCAATGTCTGTCTATCCTGCCACTATTCAACCATCCATTCAAAAATATTGACAGAGCCCCTACTATGTGCCTGAGTGTTTTATGTGCTAGGGAAACACCAGTGAACTACACAAAGCCCCTGCCCTCATGAAACCTACATTCTAATATGGTAGGAGAGAGGAACCAAGGACCACAGAACTCTGACACAATATCAGATGGTGACGTCTGCTGGGAAGTTAGAGAGCGAGGTCAGGGAGCCGAGTGTGGCAGGGTGGGGGTGGCCAGTGACAGCTTCTCTGAGGTGACACCTGAGCAGACGCCTGATGAAGGGAGGGAGTCACATGGACATCCCAAGGAGGACATCGAAGGCAGCCAGAATAGCAACTGCAAAGGCACTGAGGCAGGCGTGTGCTTGGTATGGTTGAGGAGCAGCAAGGAGGCAGAAATGGCTGGCAGGGAGTGAGGGGTGAGGGCTGAGGAGATGAGGTTGGGGAGCCCTGGAGGGGCTGAGGAGTGACACAATCAGATCAGCCATGTGTTCTTACAGGATTCCTCCTCTAGCTGCTGCCCCGTGAGGGGAAGCAGTGGCGCTGGTGATGAGGCTGCTGCAGGGATCCTGGTGGAAGAAAGCAGCTGATTCTAGAAGTATTATAAAGGCAAGGTCAACTGGATTTGCTAATGGACTGGATGAGGAATATGTGAAAGAAAAGAATCAAGGTCAATCCCAAGGTTACGGCCCGACCTATCAGGCACACAGAGTTGCCATTTACAGAGATAGGAAAGACTGTGGGAGGAGCAGGTGGGATGGAAATCAGGACCTTGACTTTGGACATGAGATTAATACAAGACACCTATTGGGTGATGTGGAGTTCCTGGGTGGTACAATTAACATGCCTGGCTGCTAACTGAAAGGTTGGCGGTTCGAGTCCACCCAGAGGTGTCTCAGAAGAAATGCCCGGTGACCTACTTCTGAAAAATCACAGCCCTTGAAAACTATGGAGCACAGTTCTACTCTGACATACATGGGGTAGCCATGAGTTGGAATCAACTCAACAGCAACTGGTAGATTAACGAGCAACACGGAGAAGACAGTCAAATATGCAAGTCTAGAATTAAGAGCAGAGGTGTGGCTAGAGATAAAAGAGGGAAGCACAGACAGCATGGAAAGCTATCACACTGGGTGGGACCACAGGGAGGGAAGGCAGATGGAGAAGAGTCTGGGGCCTTCAGGGAAGTCAGGACAGGGAAAGGGGTCCAGCAGAGACAGGGAAGGAGCAGCCAGTGAGATAGTGGAGACCCAAGATGTGTCCCACCCTGGAAGTCAAGAGAAGAGTTTCAGGGAGGAGAGGGACCTGTGTCCTATGCTGCTCATGGGCCAAGGAAGGGGTGGACTGAGATGTGAGCCCAAGGGTTGGCAACAGAGAGGTCAGTGACAGCTTGGACAAGGGCAGTACCAGTGGAGTGTCAGGGCTAAAGCTTGATTTAGGAAAAAGTGGGGGGAGAAATTAGAGACAGCAAGTCTAGACAGTCCTTTTGAGGAATTTTATTATAAACATATGGACCAATAAGCAATATCACAATAAACAGAGAAAATACTGAAGTTGTCAAGTATTTCATTTTACTTGGATCCACAATCAACGCCCATGGAAGCAGAAGTCAAGAAATCAAAGGATGCATTTCACTGGGCAAATCTGCTGCAAAAGATCCCGTTAAGGTATTAAAAGGCAAAGATGTCACTTTGAGGACCAAGGTGCTCCTGTCCCAAGCCATGGTATTTTCAATCGTTTCATACACATGCAAAACCTAGACAACGAATAAGAAAGACTGAAGATGAACTGATGCCTTTGAATTATGGTGTTGGCAAAGAATACTGAATGTACCATGGACTGCCAGAAAAACAAACAAATCTGTCTTGGAAGAAGTACAGCCAGAATGCTCCTTAGAAGCA